TAGCACATATGTTATTATCTGGGGATTAAGAAGAGGGGACTGAAATGCGTATTTGGATATAGAAACACTTATAAATTAAACAAAGTTACCAGAATAAATCATCTCTACAGAACACAAACGTTAAAAAAAGTCATATAATATTAATAAAAGTATGATATCTTAAAGTTTCAAATTCTTAATATGAAGAATCATAATATGATAACAGTGTGTGAATCTCTACTAGGCAATGAGCTTTATATGGGGATAGTAGGTAGGTGCTAAGCCATAGGTTATCATATTATAACATGGGGAGCAGTTATGGGACCCTGCCCCCATGCATGATCTCAGTTCACTTGGGTGTTGCTTTCACCCATGACTTACGAGGTTTTCCGGTTTGAAGCCTCATCATCAGTGTGTAAAGAGAAGCTGCTCCATATACTCTGGATATTAGGGCTCTATCTGAAGTGTGAGGAGTAAAGATTTGTTCCCAGGGTGTAGGCTCCCTATTTACCTCTCTTATTGTTTCTTTTGCTGAGAAAAAACTTTTTACTTTGAGTAAGTCCCATTTGTTGATTCTAGTTATTAACTTTTGTGCTATGGGTGTCCTACTGAGGAATTTGGAGCCCGACCCCACCGAATGTAGATCGTAGCCAACTTTTTCTTCTATCAGACGGCGTGTCTCTGATTTGATATCAAGCTCCTTGATCCATTTTGAATTCACTTTTGTGCATGGCGAGAGAAAGGGATTCAGTTTCATTTTGTGGCATATGGATTTCCAGTTTTCCCAGCACCATTTGTTGAAGATGCTATCCTTCCTCCATTGCATGCTTTTAGCCCCTTTATCAAATATAAGATAGTTGTAGTTTTGTGGATTGGTTTCTGTGTCCTCTATTCTGTACCATTGGTCCACCCGCCTGTTTTGGTACCAGTACCATGCTGTTTTTGTTACTATTGCTCTGTAGTATAGTTTGAAGTCTGGTATCGCTATACCGCCTGATTCACACTTCCTGCTTAGCATTGTTTTTGCTATTCTGGGTCTTTTATTTTTCCATATGAATTTCATGATTGCTTTATCTATTTCTACAAGAAATGCCATTGGGATTTTGATTGGCATTGCATTAAACCTATAGAGAACTTTTGGTAATATCGCCATTTTGATGATGTTAGTTCTGCCTATCCATGAACAGGGTATATTTTTCCATCTTCTAAGATCTTCTTCTATTTCTCTCTTTAGGGTTCTGTAGTTTTCATTGTATAAGTCTTTCACCTCTTTTGTTAGGTTGATTCCCAAGTATTTTTTTTTTTTGAAGATATTGTGAATGGAGTGGTTGTCCTCATTTCCATTTCAGAGGATTTGTCGCTGATATACAGGAATGCCTTTGATTTATGCGTGTTGATTTTATATCCTGCCACTTTGCTGAATTCATTTATTAGCTCTAATAGTTTCTTTGTAGAGCCTTTTGGGTCTGCTAGAACTCAAAAAATTAGACAATAAGAGAACAAACAACCCAATCAACAAATGGGCCAAGGACCTGAGCAGACACTTCTCAGAGGAGGACATACAGTCAATCAACAAGTACATGAAAAAATGCTCAACATCTCTAGCAGTCAGAGAAATGCAAATCAAAACCACCCTAAGATACCATCTCACTCCAGTAAGATTGGCAGCCATTAGGAAGTCAAACAACAACAAGTGCTGGCGAGGATGTGGGGAAAAGGGTACACTTGTACATTGCTGGTGGGACTGAAGATTGGTGCAGCCAATTTGGAAAGCAGTATGGAGATTTCTTGGAAAGCTGGAAATGGAGCCACCATTTGACCCAGCTATTCCCCTTCTTGGTCTATTCCCTAAAGACCTAAAAAGAGCATGCTACAGGGACACTGCTACATCGATGTTCATAGCAGCACAGTTCACAATAGCAAGACTGTGGAACCAACCTAGATGCCCTTCAATAGACGAATGGATAAAAAAAATGTGGCATTTGTACACAATGGAGTATTACTCTGCATTAAAAAATGACAAAATCATAGAATTTACAGGGAAATGGATGACATTAGAGCAGATTATGCTAAGTGAAGCTAGCCAATCCCTAAAAAACAAATGCCAAATGTCTTCTTTGATATAAGGAGAGTAACTAAGATCAGAGTAGGGACGAAGAGCAGGAGAAGAAGATTAACATTTAACAGGGATGAGAGGTGGGAGGGAAAGGGAGAGAGAAGGGAAATTGCATGGTAATGGAAGGAGACCCTCAGGGTTATACAGTGGAGGGGGTAGAGAGAGAGGAGGGGAGGGGAGGGGAGAGGTGGGGAGGGGGGAGGGGGAGGGGGAGGATGGGAAAGGCAGCGGAGCACAACAGACACTAGTATGGCAATATGTAAATCAATGGATGTGTAACTGATGTGAATCTGCAATCTGTGTATGGGGTGAAGGTGGGAGTTCATAACCCACTTGAATCAAAGTGTGGAATATGATATGTCAAGAAATTTGTAATGTTTTGAACAACCCACAATAAAAAATTAAAAAAAAAAAAAAAAAAGAGAGAGAAGCTGCTCCAGAGGCAACAGGGGGAGAAGCAGCTCTGGTGGCATTTGAACTGGAGATCCTCAGGCAGAGAAACCAATCTGGTGGTGGTGTAAGAGATGAACAAAACCAGAGGATGAGGAGAGAGCAGGACAAGAAAGGACAAAGTAGAGAAGACAATCAGAAATGAAATGGCAGAAGGAAAAAGGAGAAAAAGGAAAGTCAAAACGTGAAGGCAGTGTGGAGAGCAGAGGACAAAAGGGGAGAGGAGGAGGAGGAGAAAAAATGTAAACAATCTTTGGGTATATGAAGAGCAACATGCCCGTACATCTGATTGCTGTTTCTGTAAGTCACAGACAATATTCAATGACCCCAGGCACAAATCCATGAACCACAAGAGCTGAATATCATCACTAAAAAGAAAAATCTAAGCTTCCAGCCAGTAAGGGCATGAAAACTACTGCCATGTTGACTTTCTTAAAATACTAGAAACGATGAAACAGAGTCCAATGAAATTCAATTATTTTCCTTCCTGAGCTTGAAACTATTGAAACAAAATTGAAGAATGTGATGTTGGTTTCTTACATGATCATCTTCCAGCACACCTGCCAATCAGAAAAGTCATGTATTCTTGTGTTTCTCCAGATACGATTTCCATCATGTCTAGCTTCATACTTTTGGTCTATATTTCCAATTAAAAATGAATGGTAGCAGGATACCTTGAGCAGCTCAGGCTTGGCTTTGATGACTGTACCTAACCTTCCAGGATCCAGGGTCACGTCCCTGCTTGGGCCTGGGACATTTCTTTTATTTTCCTGATTCTTCCATTTTACTGGAAAGTATGTGTTCATAAGGAAAAGTCTTCATTAAAATGTTTTTAATCATTTAATATATTATTAGTCAAAAAAATGAATCTTGTTAGGGTGGGAGCTGGCAGATATAAGATACTTTCTAAGTAAGGAATAATAGAAAACCAAATTAAAATGTTCTTTGCAAATTAAACCCATATATATAATTATAGTTAAACTAGTGGTAAGAATTTCCATTTCAGTACCAAGGTGATTATGAAATTCTTTAGGCACAGTTGGCTTTTCTTTAACTTCCAAATCAGGCTGTATATTCTTCTGCCCACATTTGAAGTTGATGCAGACTAGCAGGTTATATTGCCCTTGGCCCAATGCAAATACCAGGAGGTGAATTGAAACACCGCTCTTTAATCATTTTTAATTAATTCACATTAAACTTACTGGCATTTTTGGCTTTTCTAAACAGGAAAGTTTCAAATGGCTTATTGGAGCCATCATAATCAAACATCAAGTCCTTCAGCAGAACTGAACTTCATTGTAGAGATTTTAAGTTTCTATAATCAAAAGCAAGTCAAAGGGACAAGTTAATTAAAAGGCAACCAAATGTGACAGGTATGAAAGTCACATTGTCACTAACTGTAACATGACACTCAGACTCTACTACAATGACCCAAAAGACACACTAATGTTAATAAACCCTTAGAGAATTAATGTTCCTTCACCACATCACGCTTAAAATAAGTGAAAGTAAATTATTAATCTACAAAGAATAAACAACATGTGGGAGTGAGGATCTTATTAATAAGTTTGTTTTTTTTTTTTATTAAACTCATGGACCATAGAAACCTCCGTGTACTTGCTCCAAATGATATCTCTATCTTCACAGGCAAGAGTGTTGATTTACTTACAATGTAAATTAACTCTGCATTATCTGGCAACTTACAAAAGCTCAAAAATATTTTTCTATTGATGAATGATCGCGAGTATTAGTGAATGAACAACCTCACTGACATTACACCAATAACACATATAGGTGGTCAGTATCAATCCTCCCTCATCATGGTGGTATTTCAGTGAGGAAGGATTTAAGAGAAAATCTTAAGGAGGAAATATAAGTTGATGACTGAAGCACATTTAACCAAAGGAATACTGCCTAAACATTTAAAATCATCATCATCATCATCATCATCAACACTCAAGCATTCTACACCAATGACTAGAACACAGACCTGAGCTTCACAGACCAGTGGAGGAAAACAGGCCCAGAAGGGTATGAAAAGCAACAAGGGGATCTTTAGATGCTCAGACCTCAAAGTGCTGCCTCTATCCTAGAAAGAGTGCCTACATCATGATGTCAACAGCTACCCAGTTTCAGAAACTTACCTGCTATGAGGGCTACTCTCTTCTATCATGTGGCAGCAGAATTTTCTGACTTTCTGTGCTCAATCAAAGTATAGTATTTCCAGGAAGATATACAGCACTATAGAGTACAGGCCAAAGTAAGAGCCCATGAACTCCTAAAGAAACTTTCATTAGCATCACTGGAAATGGAGTGCTATGCAGCATGATGCACTGTATCAGTCTGATACAGTCCAGGCAGTGAGTGTACCACTGCCCTGGATCAGCAGAGGAGGGAGGGACCCTGCTGCACCTGTGCATCCTACCAAAGCTGCTTCCTGATGAAAGGCACTTACCGCAGTGCCGAGTGTCTTCCAGAACGGGATACACTGTTGCCCACGGGTGATGGCAGGTTGCTCCCTCTGTGCAGGTCCTCGATGGACCTACTCCAGGGCTTGGATTTGTCCACTGAACTTTCCACTGTACTTTCCACACTTTCGAAGTCAAAACTAAAACAAAAGAGGAATGTCATTGAAGACTTAAAAATTCACTTTCACACATGTACATAGGCACATTTGCTGTGTATGTATACATTTATTTACATCTTGGTATGTATTTGCAGACAGAACTAAAAAGGAAATACAAAAGAATTTCTACGGAGTCAGATTGAAAGCACAGATGACAAATACTAGGCTGGCAAAAGAATCATGGAACAACAAACAAAAAATTAAATAGTGATTTGTATTTTAATATAGGGTTTATTAGCTTACCAATTGCTAAAATGCTATGATAGAAATGGGGGAGTCCTACAGCTGTCTTCATTTTGCTTTAACAAGTCAATATGTTAGGCTTATGCTAATTTATTCCTACCCATCAATTTTCACTGAGCATTCTCTCCTAGTGTGTTGGCAAGTATACTTTTCCAACCATATGTGATACATTAGTAGCGAAGTTATGGATTTGCTTTGATTTTGGAATCTTTTCCCAATGTGGTGCTTTTAAAAGCAAGACTGTTGTTTCTCTGACATTTTTTGAGGTTATTACTCATGCTAACCATGTTAGAATAAATGGCAAGTTAAGTTGCTCATTCTTGTACAGTTTTAGGAACAAAGTCTTTAAACAGACAGACCTTTGTGTTCCATGAATCTTTTTTCCTCATAAAATCAGTAGCTCTGCTTTCTCAAAACCAAAGCAGCAGCAAAAACCACTGTATTAATTATTTCTACCTACAATTCCACAACACCTGATTGAGCAGTAGAATAAAGGGAGCTATAATTAATATCTCCAGAATATCTTAGAAAATACTGCAAAAGAAAAATAACATATACTGGAAATGATTGATGATTTTTTTAAATAAAAATATGACTGCCAAAATAAAAGTATCATTAGAATAGTCATCTGAAAACTAGGTGATACTTTTCCAGCTATTAAAGCCTGATCCTCAGAGACTGATGCACAAAGCCACTGCAGAGATCTGATGAAAATGTTGGCATGCTTTTTGAAGCAAGAGAAATACTCAACAAAAAAGAGGCAGAACAGGGTAATCTAAGAAAACTTTTGAATACAAAAAAGAGAAAGCTATCATTAAGACTAGAGGTTTAAGTCAAAGGGATCACTCATGAAATTGACAAGCTCACCAGATCCCCCTGCAGCCCTCGAATCATTCAGCCATCCAGCATCTATCGCCCCTACTCTCACATGGAAAAAGGAAACATGCACCTTAATGAATGCTTCTATTTTAGAGATAGGATCTAAGCCTATTGTTTCACATTCTATAGGCTGGGAAACTGAGATATGCCAAGGAATAGAAGGAAATTTTTTATTTCATTAATACAAAAGACCAACTATATTATGTAATTTATTATCTAAGTAAAGCAAAACCAAATGAAAGCTAATAGCAAAAAGTTTAAAGCTAATACCAAAACAAAATCCAAATTACAAGATTAGGAAACAAGAACTCTTTGAGTTTTGAACTTTTGTGGGCTACTGTCTTACGCTGTAGACTACAAGAATACCAACACAGCACCACAACCTTTGCTCATTCATCCTATATGAAGGCACATCTGGGAAATCTAGTTTACAAGCTGCATTGTCATATATAAAGCATTCGTTATAGCAAACACAGAATATACAACATGGTATTCTTATTCATTATTCCTGATTTTTCATAGCCCTCCCTCAATTCCATAAACATTACCCTAGAACTTCAAAATATATGAGATTATTATTATCCTGCTTTATCAAATAATATGAAGCATAAAAAAGATTAGCAGATTTTGATAGCACAGAAAGAAATACCCTTTGATAGAACATGCTATAAAAACCAGGATTATGTTTCAGGAACAATTTCTCAGGGAGATAAGAACTTATCTGCTGGCTTTTATTTATTTAGTCTATTCCATCTAATATATGACAGGTAACAAAACAGAAACTCATGGAGCCAGTTTCAGTTAACATTTCAGTTTCTGCTTCTGTAAGGTGAGAATAATTATTTCCTTTTCACATATTCTCAGGGAAGTGATAGGGATTATATGATAACATCTGGTTAGGTCTTAGGACTCTTTCAGAGTGAGGCAATATTAAAAAACAAGTTACTAATTTTAAAAGAATAGTGAGGGTGGAAGAAGTACCACCTAGGCTGGAACATCTTTCAATCAAATTAAAACTACAGTATTATTGCCTCAATCTATGTCAACAAAACCTGTGGATGCTGGGATGTGTCTGACTTAAGGAGAAAATGTGAAGAGAATTTTTCAAATGTACATGCTTTAGTCCTATTCTAAACCATTTCAAACGTCAAGAAAATGGGAGAATTTATGAAATAATTGGGAGAATTTATGAAATAATACAATCAAGGATTCATGGTCTGCCCCAGTATTTCCACCCCGCCCCCCTTCAACTTTTGGGCAAGAAATCAAAACAACACAAATACATATAAAGTAAAAAGAAAAAGGTTGTTTGTTTTGTTGTTGTTGTTTTAATGGCAGGGGTGAGGGGTGTCCCTCTAGGTGCACTATCTATTTCTGCAATTGTTTTCTTTGCATGTACTAGCATAATAAATATACATCCATATACACATATACATCCATATACACAGCTTATCTTTTTTTGGAGGGGGGAGGGTGCTAGAGATTGAACCCAAGGCCTTGCACATGTTAGATAAGTGCTCTATCACTGGCCATACCACCAATAACATTATTTTTAAAATTAAAAGATGGCCTGGGCATAGTGGCACACACCTGTAAGAAGCTGAGGCTAGAGGATTACAAGTTCAAGACCAACCTGGACAACTTAGTGAAACCCTGTCTCAAAAATTAAAAAGATAAAAAAATAAAACAAAGGTTGGGGATGTACCTCAGCAGTGAAATACTCCTGAGTTCAATCCCCAGTTCTAGCAAAAAAACAAAAAAGTTGTGGGAATCATTCAGTGGTAGGTAAAGTGTGCTTGGCATGCATAAGGCCCTACTACATACAATCCCCAGCACCCTGAAATTAAATTTTTTTAAAGAATTTTTTTGTAGTTGTCAATGGACTTTTATTTATTTATTTGTGGCGATGAGAGTCAAAGCCACATGCTAGGCAAGCACTCTATCACTGAGCTACAACCCCAGCCCCAAAATTAAATTTTAAAAAATAACAGTCACTTTTCTACATCTTGCTTTTTTCACTCAAAACACCATATTCATCTTTCAGTAACTTCTAGAGCATTCTACCATATAGCTATCTGTAACTTCATCCATCAACAAAGTACTTCTTTGGGGCTATGGTGAAGTTTCATAGCAGAATGCTTCTCTACTATGCATGAGACCCTGGGTTCAAACCCCAGAACCACATACAAACACAAAGTACTTCGTTTTGAAAGCAAGGTTCCTCTGAAGGTGCTTTTTACTCAGCTTATTTCTCCCCTAAAAGTGTTTCTAATATTAATTACGTGATTAGTTTTTAGTTATTCAACAAAAACATACCACCTTAAACCCCTCTCACATCTCTTTCTGGTTTCCTGCCCTGAATGTGGTATATAATTTTACCATTAAACTGCATATTCTGTGACCACATAAAATTCAAATGCAAACAAGCCAAATTTTACTTACGTTACTGCATACTGTGCAAATGATAGATATTCTACCAGGACATCAAGGCCTTTGTTTTCTTCATTCAAAAACTCTCTGACCCATCTGGTGAAGAGAAAAAAAAAAATCATTGAAGAGGTTGACCACATGACCACATGATCTGCTATGGAGAGGACAACAGTGGCAAGTTTTGCTTTTCTGTCAGAAACATACAATGCTTCAAAGGAAATTCAGAGGAAAACCTAGGCTATTCCACATGCGGTAGAGGCTTCTAGAAAACTACATTTCCACACACAAAAACAAGGAGCAAAACCTGTGTGTGTGCCATTGCATTTCACTGCTTAGGAGGTTTAAGATAACCTATAAAAGAACTTTCCAAAAAAAGGAACTTGCTAAATGTACTTTTTTCCACCACAACTGATCCACAGGCTGCTTGATGAAGAAGCCAAGATTGCACAGAGAATGAGCAGACTAGGGACATGACGCCATAACCACTGAAATCCCGGCAGGGCTCCAAATCCACACTCAACTCCTTCTTGGCACACGAAGCTGTAGAAACCACTAAACTAGCCAATGAGAGGCCAGTGTTTATGGGCTTCTGGAAATTCAATAGAGGTAAAGATTTGCTTAATTTTTTCCATGAACGTTAAAACCTTTTAAAAGGCCGCAAGCACCGCAGGCCATCACCAAGGGCAACACGTGATAAAAATATTTTTTTTTTAAAGATTGAATTTTTAAAAATACCACCTTACATTTGAATGGTGATTAACATTTTATTGAAAATGTAGACATTTTATTTGATCTTCATAATAATTCCAATCAGATGGTCAAACCTCATGTTTAGGTACTGAGGATAAACACCTGTTACCCCATTTTACAGATTTCCTCCAGTGTACTAACCTTCAAAGAACATGTGAGACCTGATTAAATCTTCACTCACTGAGAAACTCCAACAAATAATGAGGAAAAAGTTCATTGATTGTCATCAAAATGGTACTTGTGGGACATCTGCCAAATGCATTCCTAAATGGTTGCTCTCCTCCATAAACGCAGTGCCAAAAAGTCTGACCAACTATGAACACTAGAGCTACCATGGAAGCCAGTCTTATTATCTATTAAAATAGTAGGACAATTTTCCCTTGTGTCCTTACAGATGAGCAACTACTTAGGATATTTTAGGATATTTCTTTTTTAAAAAAAAAAAAGAAAGAAAGAAAAAAAATCTGATGAACACAGGATGCTTGTTTTTAAATTTTTGGTGTTTCCTCTCCTTTGGATGGAGGGAGGGTCTTCATTTTTTTTGTCTAAGCATCAAGCTTATTATTTCTCCAAGCTCCTGTCACCTCCATGATGTAAACTCAGATCTACAGGTTCTTGTAGGAGGCAGAAAGGTGGGAAATTAAGACAGCTTGACTTGTATATCCCCCAAGTGCCTCAGACAGGCTACCATAAAACATATGCACTTCGCACAGCTGTGTGTAAGAATACAACCTTTACAAAAAACCCAGAGCAGCAACACTGGCAAAGAAAACAGCATCTGTTCACTCTCACAAAGCAGCTTTGTTATAAGACCTAAATGCAACTAACAGGGCTGCCTGCTGGTTGAGGCTGAAGTTTCCAAAACAGCCACATACGTGTTCTCACAGCATCCGTTTCTAGATACTTTATTTATTTTAAATATTCCCTATGCTGCTAGATTTCAGGAGACACTCAACAATTTTAAATGCTGATAATTACAAGCATAGAAAGAGTAAAAGCAAACTTTTTTTTTTCTTTTTATGATTGGCAGGAGACTTAAGAACTAGAATTCTCCATCAAGATCAGAAAACTAGTCATTCATTAAATTCAGGCCCCCGTGTTTCCCCTTGGCCTCTCCACTGGTCTAGCCTATGGGCTCTGACTGTACAATGTCAATTGATCCAGGGTGGTGTCTTTTGAATATGAAAAATAACGATAAGGGCCCAGATTTGGAGGGCAGTCTCACTTTCACATATTAGTTGCCCACGAACTCAGAAGTAGAGAAAAGTAGTCATTGAAGTTCCTTCTGGTTGATTCTGTAGACACTGCCTCTGAAGAGTACAGATCCTTCAGGGTACCCTCCATACTAGCCAATGTCTCAACCACCAGCAGCCCCATCGCTCCTCAGACGTTCTGCCAAATTCAACAGGAAGCAAATGACCCAGACACAAAAAATTAACCAAAAAAAAAAAAAGTAGGAAATACCCAAACAAGTCCAGAGCAGCAGTCTTCTTGACTCAACATGCAAACATGTATATATTTTGATGCAAGAATAAAGATTAATTGGTTTTGTTTACTTCACTTTAACATCCTCATCAATGTCCTCATCCCCACATGCTGACATTGAGTAAAAGTGCCTTAAATGACAATTTCCATGAAATTCAGGAGCCTGTTGCTTACTTGCTAAAAGGCTAGCTAGAGTATAACATGCCCCGCTTCTGGTTGAATAATAAGCAATAAACCTATGTTTCTAAGCTATGAGATCCTCCCTGGGTCTCATCCATGACATCCCCAAGTGACATAGGAAAGAAGAAAATATAAATCATAGAAGATTGGCTACCTTATCTCCTTCATCAATGATATTAGCTGAGCAAAGCCATTCTAGCAAGAAGGATATGGATTATAAGAAAGACAGTCCCCCCTACTCCTCCTGTCCTCTCAGCTCCTGCCCTCCCCTGCTTGTGTTATTCTGTATGGAAAAGAACAGAACTAAAAGCAAACTTCCATGAAAAATGAAGGGGGGCAGGAGGATGAGAAGGGACAACTTTTAAAGCAGAATCTTGACTCTACAGGCACTCAAGGAATACGGATGCCTCATTTTGGAAATCTACATACTTGATCATGTAATGATTCTATCATATATTTAGGGTTCCCATAATAATGTACTTCCATTTTCATCTTCATGCATGCTACTCACACTTTTTTTTAAATATGTTGCCAATAGGCAAACAGTTTCAAATTGGGTGATTACAGGTTTTGGAAAGTAAAATTATTTCTGGCTCTTACAGCACACATTACTTCCCAAGTGCCTCACAGATTCAAATGTAATTACCATATGTTGTAAATTTAAATTCAGGCAAATTCCAAATCAGATGCTTAGAAGCTGGGAGAGACAGGGATCATGAAAAACTGGATTCAAAGAAGAGATGTAAGCGCAAATGCTAACAGTCGCTGTTTTATTGTAGACTGCTCAAAGCTTTATTTCAAAACTTTGTTCTCCTTGCCTCCCCAAATCTTAGGATTTCATTATCCTCATATGCAAAATTAAGTCTTAAGGGACCCTCCTGGCTTTCAATTTCCAAGATCAAACAAAGCAGCCAGAATATGTACAAGAGAATAAGACAAATAATGAATTTCCTTTGCCAGTCTCCTTTAGAGAGAGATCTTATAGACAGATGGCAAGAAATGAAGTAGCCGAAAAATCATGGAAAACAAGAGAAAATAAGAACCATCAAGATTCGACACTGGTCATTAGGCCACTGATTCTCAAGGTGTAACCCACTCACCACAAGAGGTCCCTGAAACCTACTCAGGATGACTATGAGGATAAAACTATATCCACAAAAATATTAAGATGTTATTCTTTTTGCACTTTGTTAATTCCAACATTCATGACACAAAAGAAATGGTGGGTAAAACTGCTGCCCCCAAAGGATACACTTATTATTGCATTCTTTACCCCATGCACTCCAGGAAGGGTGGGAAGCAAGCCTCACTTGAGAACACCCTTAATAAAGCAATACATATTTTGAGTACATATCTTTTTAATTTTGTGTATGAAAAAACAGGAAGATCATGTAAAAAGCACATCTGTTGGTTCAAGGAAAAGCACTTGGGCAGTTGTCTGAGTAGCATGCTGAACTTGCCATTTATTTTTTCACAGAGTGCCAGTTTACTTGTAAAAGTAACTGACAGGGTTGGGGTTATAGCTCTGTGGTAGAGCACTTGCCTAGCACATGTGAGGCACCAGGTTTGATCCTCAGAACCACACACAAAAAATAAATAAAATAAAGGTACTGTGTCCATCTACAACTAAAAAAATAATTTTAAAAAAGTAACTGATAAACTATTGTGATACAGTTTGGGGTAAATGCAGTCATTTACTCAAAAATAAATAAATTAAGTCTGTCATTTTAGGGAAAACAACAGACAGTATTTGTCATCAGTGACAAAATTTGAGGTTCGAAGTAAAAGTAAAACTTTTGGAAAACATGTATTCACCACTAGTTCAGTTTCCCATTATTTAAAAGTATATTCTGATGAGTGAGACTAGTTATTATTGACAAATGTAATTTTTTTTAAAATATTGTGAATATTATAGAATGACATGTTTCAACAACTAAAAGAGCCAAATAAACTCACTGCAATAATGCTTTCCAATGATCAATGTGTGATGTTAAGAAATCACGTTATAAGCCGGTGCAGTGGCGCATGCCTGTAATCACAGGTAGAAAAAGCCAGGAAGATAGCAAGCTCCAGGCAACTTAGCAAGATCCTGTCTCAAAATTTGAAAAGAGAAAAGAAAAAAGAAATATAGCTGGGGATGTAGTCCAATAGTAGAGAACTTAACTACTATGTGTGAAGCCCTAGGTTCAATCTTCCCATTCCTGGGAGGGAGGGATGAAGGAATCATGTCATAGACTCATGAGGAAAAAAGATCCATTCAAGGGGCTGGGGTTGTGGCTCAGTGGTAGAGCATTCAACCTAGAACCACATAAAAATAAATAAATAAAATGAAGCTATCATGTCCAACTACAACTAAAAAAATATTTTTGAAAAAAGATCCAATTGAATCAAATGTATGATATGACAAGATCATTGTAATGTTTTGAGCAACTAATAAAAAAATTTAAAAAAAAAGATCCATTCAAAATGCAAGACTACACAAGTGGATTTTAACATAATATAGTATTACCTTTAGGAAGTAATTTCTACTTCTTGTTGAATTCTGGTGTATTATTTTTTTAAAAAGGAACATCTGTCATTATCTGAGTAGGGCATTTAACAACTCTTCCTTTCTTCAAGTATGTATACGTGAAAGGCAAAAATTTTCTTCATATACATCAACTAAAACAATATCTCACAAACAATTGAACGTACACTCAGGACAATCTACTTTCTTTCTATTATTCAGATACTAAAGAGATTTGCAAAAATGTTTAAAGAAAAAAGCTACTTGTCACTAATTTTTTAAATTGGAAAATAGTTAATTTCATGAAATGTTAATATTCATACAAATATGTTTTTATACATCTAAATTAATGCTTACTAAATATTAAATCTTATTAAATACAATTAAAATATATGCTTTAATTTCCAAATATTTACATATTAATAGATGCAATGCACATAAACAAAAGCTTACTGGGGTTCAAAAACTTAAAGGGTTCTGACATTTAAAAAAAAATGGTGAGAACTGCTAGTATAGATAATGTACCTTAGATCTGGGCAAATCTACATTCAAACCTCAGTGGTTCCAAGTGGTGAGCAGTTCAATAAGATACTTAATAGCTGATCTTCAGTATTCTCATTCGTAAAACAATGGTTCAGGGATAAAGAGCAATAATGAGATTTTGGTAAGAAATAAATGAAACAGTACATTTAACATGCCTAACACAGTGCTTAATAAAAGACAAAACAATTATGATCTTGATTTCTAAAAAAGTAGGAATGAGTTAATCATAGGGTAGTTTGATGCATACATACACACCCCACACATGGTAAATGCATTTTAAAAGTAGGCCTGGTCACTCTCCTATCTTTCCCCATTTGGCATGGTCTAATCAGCATGATTGACAAAGAAGCCACTAAGCAGTCCCTCAGCTCCTTCCCTTGTATACAAACCTCTTCCCCTCCTTGCCAACTTACCTCATTCCTCTTGCAATCTCATGCCTGTTCACTCAGCTACCCATAAGATAAAGTGAAAGAAGCATCTTTCAAAACTTATATGACCTTGCACCCTGGATAAGAAGTAATTGTCCATCATTACAGGCAGTTTTACTAGAATGAATTACCTGCCAGGAGATCACCTACACCTCAGTTCCACAGAATAAAGCCAGTAAATCTATCCAGCTCACCCTTAGTATCACTTGAATCCTATCACCCTGACATCAGAAGCATGGTGACATCTGCCTGCCCATGCTATTTGCCAGTGTGTTCTAATGGTACTTGGTTCATTTCAAGGGTATTTCAAGTAATTTCAGGGACTTGGATAAGTTATAATCTAATTCTCTATTGTGATAGCTCCTAACAGTGAGTGAATGGGATTATTCCTAGCCCAAGTCTTATTTCAATTTGGCTCAAAGAAAATTAATTTTCTTTCTCAGAAGATTGCTCTATTTATAGAGTTTTAGGCTTATTTCAAAACTCAGAACCTTTTGCTTGACAAAGCTGCAGCTTAGAATGTTATCTCAGCAAAGCCCAAGACTTTAACCTTGAAGTGCAAGCACGTGCCAAGAATAATTTTTTCAGAACAAGTAGATCTTAAATGTAATTCCTCCTTTTAATTTCTGGGAACTGCAAACTTCACAATACCCTAGGTATCAGGGTTATTTTAGATGGAGTAACACTCTGCATGGAATTCCTTAGGGATGTATTATATATTATTGTTGAATTATGAGTAGATATTATTTTCTAGAAGCATAACAATAAATAATAGCTATCACATATTGAATCACTACTACATATCAGGATTCTCTAGAAGACCTTTTATAAATTATCTCATTTAGTCCTCAGAACATCCCTATGAGCTAAGTACACTCATTTTATTTATTAACATATTTATGCTGCTGGCGATTGAACTGAGGGCTTCAGGCATGATAGGCAGGCGCTCTACCACTGAGCTATATCCTCAGCTCAAACACTCATTTTTACAGATAAGTTAACTTAGCTCACATGGTAAGTACAGAGGGCTTATGTAATATATCTAAGGTCAAATAACTAAAAGGGGGCATGGCAAAAGTTTGAATCAATATATCTTTTCATAAGACAAATAGACATCAAATAATTTAACTCAAAGGATTATGATAAAACCTATTGATCCCTTATATAGCACATTGCCTTCCAATACTCCCTCATGGTAATAATTTATTATCCTTATCATTAAGTAATTCTTTAGAAGATTTCCCAATCAAATGAGGTTGAGCCAGATAGTTTACATAATGAAGAGTCCAGTTCAGTTCCAGGTGTTTGGGATGGGAAAGACAGGTCAAAATCTTAGTGTGTGGTTTTATTTTCCAGATAAGTTTATGCCAGTAATTGGTTGCATATACCAAATAATGATGCATCTCCATGACTTTTTCTGCTGCTAAAGCCAAAGTTTTCAGTGGTGGGCAAGGGAAAACTTTAGCAAGTGAAGATGGAAGAAATTTAAAAATCTTCCAGCATACCTACAGTATCCTAAACAAACCATTTCAATTGCTTGCAGATTACACTGGCTTCAATCCAACCAGGACTCTTCTATTCTGACAACTTTGTACTGGAAATGATTGTCTTGCTTTGGTATTTGGTGGTCAATTTCAAGATATTTCATAAATGCCTGAAGAAATGTTTTTTGACAGGTTGTAGAAATCCTGGCTACAACTCATTCCACCATTATCAGTCAAGAAAGTGCCAAGATATAGGGTTGGACCATACCAAATAAAATCTCATTCCTGACCCATAAATATTGGAAAGTATTTCAACTTCTCAAGTTGAATGCCCAACTGTATTAAAGTACCATCAACATCACCCTCAACAGACAAGCCTCGTTGCTTTGATCCCAGAGTCCCGATTATCTTAATTTCCTTCACAGAAAGAGCTGCCAGGGTAAGCAAGTTGAAAAACCAGAGCTTCGAGCCAAAGCACCTGGATCTACAACCATATACTTTGTGCAATTCGCTGTCTCTGGGCCTTAATTTTTTTCATCTGTAAAACGAGGGACTGGGCAAACCTTCTCTTCCACTTCCAGTTCTACAATAATGATTTTCTCTGATTCATTTCTCTAAGTCCATTTTTGTAGACAAAGACCAGGCTCATTTCATTTTCTGAAGACTTTGTTCTCAAAGTCACAAATCTGCCAGATTATCCTTTAGGAAAGGAACACCTTTACCCAAACCCTCTCATCTATAAATCACAATGGCATTTCTACAATTTAAAAAACTTGTTCTTTTCTGGTGGGTGCTAGGAATTGAACCCAAGGCTTTTCACATGCTGGGCATGTACTCCACCATTAGGCTACTTCACCCAAAACCCCTAAAAGGATTTACTCTGAAATAATCGTACTAATGAACCATTTGAATGATTTATACCAATAATGGTCTAAAACACAAGAAAACTGCTATCTATGTAGTGTATAACCTATATGTAATATGAGTATATAATTCCATTTTCAACATACCTCCAAAATATATCATAAAGGACATGAGAAGAAAATGTCCTCTCATTGAAAAGTCCAAAACGTCAAACCTCAAAGAAGTTAAATACTTGCTTAATAGAAACACATACTTGGAGCAGAACAAAGGCTACAAAATCTGCTATCATTCTGCTTTGCAGACAAACCACCTTATTTTAAGATTCAATTATGCCATCCCAGGAATAAGAAAAAATGTAATAAAGTTGTATTTGCTTGAGGCAAAACACCATGTTGTTGCATGCAAGAAACTCTCAGAAATGCTAGTGCAGAGATTCCCTGAACTTTATTTTCCCAGAGAAGATTTATACTTCATGGTCCCAAGATTTTGAGAGTATGAATGAGAGACTCGGAACGTGTCTGGACTGGGTAAGGTTACATGACTCCAGTTTCTGTCCCTTTCTGGCCAGAAACTCTAGGGAATTGAGGAAGGGGAATAAAGCACCTTTAACTCACCATCTTAAAGAACCACAATGAAAGCTTAGAGATTTTTTAGGATCTCAGTCTACACCGTTCCTACCTTTTTTAAATACTGGAGATTGAATCCAGGGACACTTTACCACTGGGCTACACCCCCAGACCTTTTTCATTTTGAGACAGGGTTTCACGAAATTTCCCTGGGTGGGCTCAAACTTGTGATCCTCCTGCTGCAGCCTGCCAAGTGGCTGGGACTATAAGCATGCACCACTGCACATGGCAATCCACACCTACTCTTAAGATTTCCTGATTTGCCAGAGAATTGTCATGTACACATGAGAACAAGCACTCATCATGGACTGCCCATATTTACTGCATTGCAGCAAAGAAATATAGAATTGTTATATATATTCCAAATCAAGGACTATCTCTCCTTCTAATGATTCTGCACAGTGAGGAAGCTCAGTAGGATCAAAAGATTCCACCCTATATAAACCTGACTTTTAACTTAGAATGAACAATAAGGAAACTCAAGTCTTTGGAAATGATTCAGCCACTTTGTAAAGTGCCCAAAGGTCTTATAGTTAAGATGATAAAGAGGCATACTTACCCAATGTGGTTAGTTCTTAAAGAGATTTCCAGTTCTCTTAGCACTTGCGTAGATTCTTGTACACGCCTTCTGAATTTCTGTAATCAAAGAACACAGATTCTAACAAAACATACTTCAGCAACTGCTGCAACTACAGCTTTCTTATAATAAACTTAATAAAATATGAAAAGATCTTTATTCTGAAGCTGGCTTCTCTCACCCTCTCCCCAAAGCATAGAAATCTTTCTTATCATAGAAGTACCTTATGAGATAAAACTACAAAAATTATTTCATGTAGTATCTTTGAGTAAGTAGATTATTTTACCCTACTCCACATATATAATAATATTCACCAATATAGCTACGGGTCAGGGATTCCAAGATCATCCCATTTCAGTGATTCACTAGGAGGACTCAAGGGCTCAGAATATAGTCACACTCACAGCTGTGGTTTATTACAACAAAAGAAAGCAAAGCTAAATTGGCAAAGCAAGAAGATAAAAGGGATGAAGTATGCAGGATACCTGGTGCAAGTTTACAACAGTCCCCTCCCCCCAGGAATCACAAATGACAACAGTCATGAAGTTCACTGGAGACCCAGCATCTAAGGTTTTCACTTGGGGGGGGGGGGGGTTGGTCTCAAGGCACTCTCTGCCCTATTCATGGAAAAATTCCAGACTCCCAGGGGAAAAATGGGCACTCAGCATAAACCATTTTTTTTTCAATAACAGTTTAGGCACAGTAAGCCATTCTTAGGGAATGGTGGGAACCCTCCCAAAATACAGATGCCAACCATGCAAGCAGGTCTTGCTCAGCAGAGAAAAGTCTCAAGCTTGCTACATCAAATTCCTCTCTGCTACACCTAATGTGTTCCAAAAACAAACATTCATCGTTACTTCTGCCCCTTAGTCCTCACTTAGGAGGTCCCTCCTGTGTAACATTTCCCACATGCACATACACATACCCATATACACGCAGTATATCCTTCCTCATTCTCTTGCCTATCAAAATCCTACCTGCCCTTCCAGGACTCCATTGGGAGTTCTTTCTTAATGAATCCTTCTCTCTCTCTCTATCCTCTTGAATCTAAACCATTTCCAAGACACCAATGGATTGCACTACAATTAGTTCTCTGGAACACATTTTTCTACAGAAACATTTAATTTATAGTGACCACAGTCTCAGGCCATGATGAAAGAAGGAAATTGATGTGCAATCCCTTCTAACCAGGCTATCTGAGACATAGACCTGAGCCACCCTTACATTACACTGTTTACAGGAAAAAGCTTTGTGAACTCATGCTCAGGATATGAAGGACCCTTCTCTGCTGTCACAAGTGCTGTGGAAACAACAGTCATCAGCTCCAAACCCTGAAAATGGCTCTCATGGCTTCAGAGAAAGATGTCCAAGGACAGGAAGGAAAGGCAGGAGGTGGAAAATAAAGATTTGAGTATGTGGGGTGGCAAGAGCCCTGTCACACACTTGGGACCTGGTGGCCTAATGGAGACTTGGAACATGGCTCAGCTTAGGCAGGCTCCTCTCACCCTCTTCTCTTCCCTTTGGCTTCCTTACAGTTTCTCCATAACTGCTATTCCCCAAACATGCTAAGAAGATGTAATGTTTTGGGAATCCAGATGTAGTGGGATATAGTAAATAAAAATATCCCTAATGCAATGAAAAAGAGAAACATTCCCTTTTTCATTTAAAAAAAAAAACAAAACTAAGAAATGGGAAGGTCATTGATGTTTGGAGGAACATCTAAGCCCAGATTCCTTGACCCCTTTCCAGCAATAAAGATGCTCAGTGCAATACAGGATAAGAAAGGGGAGCACAGCAGGATGGTTGGCTAAAGGGTTCACTCATTCTTTAAACACTTCCCTTGGAGATTAAAATCAGTAATTGAGTAGAAAGGAATCAATGGGTGAGGTGGGCAATTATAGAAGGAAAGAGAAGACAGAAAACCTTATATTCTTCATTTGCTAAAAGGAAGATAGGACCTGTGAGGAGACTACACAGTCAGCTTTTTCTAGGTGTGCTGCCCACTCCCTAGTAGCTATTCACGCCTTTGTCCTAAGTCTTAGGCTGTGTGCACATGGGGCCTTCAGAAAACACTGCAGCATTCCAAGTTGCGCATTAGGCACAGTTCTGACTTGCTCCCTGAGGCCTTTGCTGCTTCCCTAACTCTGCCTTATGCTTCCTCAGGCAACATTTTCCCCTACACATCATCAGCCCCAAAGGCACAAGCTTATCAGTGAGAGCATAATGGCGTTTATGAGGATCAGGTGAAGGGTTAAGATGTGTGTGTGTGTGTATCTCAAAACAAGGTAACCAAATCAAGGCACTAGATAATAGTAACAGCAGCAGCTAACATTTCCTAGGCACTGACCATCCTGGGCATTGTCCTTTTGCAACCGCATGGTAACTGAGGTAAATGGAACCAGACTTTATCCCTGTATTGTACTAACTTGGGAACAGCTCAATTTTAGTCTGGATTCTAGACGATAGAGAAGCTTTGGAATCCCCTTCTCTATATAACACATAAACAATGAATGCTAACACTTTGCACTTGTACAATGTATCCTGAATGCTTTAAAACACTTCAAGGAGAAATCATGAGCCCAGGGGGACCAGCAAGGAGGAGCCAGGTAGAATCCATTTGTTCTGTACTCTTTTCCTTCCTTCCCTAGAAAAGGAGGGCCTGTGGATGAACCCAGGGCAGCAGCTGACCCCAGGGTGAGCCACACAAAAGGTTTCATTCCCCAAGTGCAGCTCTAGCAAAGGCCAAAACTTCTTTTTTCATGGTCTGCAGCCTTTTCCCTGCCAGACATGAATACATCCTTCCCCCCAAGCACAGTCTAATAAGTGCCTGATATTAAACACGGAGGCTGATTTAGAGAGTTCTGGTCTCAGAGATATCTAATTTAGGCTCTTCCTTCCCTGCCCTGGAGGGCTTCATTTAAAACTACTGAAAAGAATATCTAAATAGAACATGCTAAAGAATTTAAAAATTTTTTTTAAAAAGGTATTTCCATTTAATTTGAACAAAAGATTAATGAATGAAGTACTAGAGGGCTCCAGACACAGTTAAAGGAAGACTGCTCAACCTAGACTGTTGGTGCTAAAATTTAAAGCTCTGATTTGAAATCACCCCACCACCACCATACTAGGGCTGAGAATTTTAAGCTCATTTCAGCTGCAAGCCATGCCTTATTCCAAACAAATCTCCCTTTTTTCTGGGTTTTAAGCATTATAACTATGTTGTGCAGAACAGATCCTCTCCTACTGCCAGCTCGCAACAGAAATCTTACTACAGCAGAGGTAGTTAATCCAACCTCCAGTTTATCCTTTTTTTTTTTGCCTGTTTAAATGACTGTTTTTTGCCTCATCCTTCAAGACCAAACTAGGGCATTCGGGTGGACACGCATGGTTCAGGGCAGAGGCATCAGGGAGCAAACATGCAGACAGGGATTTGGGGTCCTATTCCTCTTTGTTAAATGATTTCTGAGAGAGCCCTACTCAGCTCAGAAGGCGTGTGCCTAGTAACAGGGCTCAAGCCATACAGCCTGGAAGTTACAAGCTTGGGAAATTATGAAAACCTTTAGAAAACTTTTTGAAATCCATTTTTTTTTTTTTTTTTTTTTTTGCTTTGCTTGACTTTTTTGGGAGGTGTGGAATAAGGAAGGGTTAGTGTGGAAGAGGGAAAAAGTTTTAGTTTAAAAAATTCAAGCGCCAAGAGCCCTGAAAACTGGCTCCCCGGAAAAAGTGTGCCTTTCTTTTCTCATAAGTCACATGCCAAGACAACAGAGAATTCAGCTTGAGGTATTTTCACTGGGTCCTTGAAAGCAGGAGTTGTGGAAGGTCGAGGAAAAAACAAATGCTGCTGTCTGGTGAAGAGCCACTTCATCCATCCTGAGCAAGGGCGGCTCTGCCCTGAGACATCCCAGGACCCATCCAGGCCTGCAGGGCCGTGCCAGGCTCCATGCTTTACCACAAGGATCGGCTTAAACCAATTGTGTGGCTGCACAAAGCAGGGCTTGTTTGTAAAAGGATAGCCAGTTGAGAATGGAAGCAACTATTCTCTCCTTACCTTCTTCAGGCCAGAGGCAGGGTTTGGGGCCAGGGAACCTACTAAAAGTATCAACACAGGATGTGACTGCACAGCTGGGATGACAAAGCCCCAGTGATTTTTCAAAGTCTCTAGAAATGCACCAAAGCATGAAAGACAAGTATTCCTTTTGCAAAGCCTGCTTGTCCTGGGGCCTACCCACCTTTGGGCTGGACTCACTGCCCTGTGTAATTGGAAATAGCAGTGAGTCAATAACCATTAGAGGTATGTGACCTCCATGGAGCAAAGTACTCTTAAATGCTTCCTTAAGCAAGGAGGATGGTGGAGTACCCTCACCCCTTGTCTTCTCATGTTTTCAGTATCCAAAGGTGGTTTTCCTAGAGGCTTTGGCAGACACAAATGCAAGGGAAAGAAAATCTTTCCAAGTACAGAAGGATTCTGTCCACTAATGAGGAAGCTACAACACAGAATGAAAACAAATCCCCTTACCTTCCTGGTTACAGCTGGATCCAGATAGCCTTTGAGCTTTTGAATGTATGTATGGGGAGGATTCTTCACCTGGAATCGTTCCTGCAGGAAGCACAAAGGCAAAGAGCATGAAAGGTATGAAGGCATGACACAGTCCGCTACATCACACAGATTAGTGTCACTGACCATGGCCAAAATGCATCCCAGGAGAATGTGGCCCTGCAAATAAGCACTATGCACTAATTGTTTTGAATCTTTATAGTAGATGATCTTCTCTTGGCATAGGAAGAAACTGAAGCTCAGCGAAATGTAATACTTTCCTTTGATGCCAAAGCTTGTTGGTGGTACAAAAGGATACAAACCCATGTCTGCTCAGCTCCAGAATATGAAATGCTTTCTCTGCAGGGTATTCTTGGCCTGACCTATTTCAAGTCCTCCTGAACAAGCCTTCATTAGATCATATATTTCTTGGGATGTCTTCAATGTTGGCAAATCTTTCAGACAATCATTTAGTTTCATCCCGTATTTTTAGACTTGACTCAAAGTAGATACAACTTATTTGTTTCAAAAATAAGTGTTGAGTCTACAGCCAAGAGACTGGAGTGTGGAGCATGTGAGTGTGAACACAGGTATGTGTGTTATCATTAATGGGCTCCTTAAGCAGCTCCTAGTTACGAGATCCAAAAATATTTTGATCAGGTATATATATACATACAATGTGTGTGTGTGTGTGTACACATGTGTACATCCACGTTTGCACACACTTGTAGAGAAACAGCATAAAAGTCATGGATGAAGGGCCAATGAAGGGAACGGTCATAATCATAAAGGCAAAGACAGAACACTCCTGAGATGCTGGCAAAGTGCTATTTCAGGACCTGCATCGTAGTTACCAGGCATTGACTTTATTCTACTTAATATGCCAGTTCTCAGGTTTCACAACCTTTTCTGTATATATTCTACAAGGAGGATGGTTTAATCAGCTCTAAAAGAAAACCAAGCTGGGCACCGTGGCACATGCCTATAATCCCAGTGACTGGGGAGGCTGAGGCAGGAGGATCACAAGTTCAAAGCCAGCCTCAGCAACTTAGTGAGGCACTTAGCAACTCAGCAAGACCCTGTCTCTAATAAAATATTTTGCAAAAATATTTAATTATGTCTGGGGATGTGGCTCAGTGGTTAAGCACCCCTGGATTCAATCCCCAATACGAAAGAAAGAAAGAAAGAGAGAGAGAGAGAGAGAGAGAGAGAGAGAGAGAGAAAGAAAGAAAGAAAGAAAGAAAGAGGGCTGGGGTTGCAGTTCAGCAGCAGAGTGCTCATTTAGTATGTGCAAGGCGCTGCGTTTGATCCTCAGTACCATATAAAAATAAATAAAATAAAGATACAAAAAATATTTTAAAAAAAGAAAACCATGAAATGAGAATGGATTTTATCACTTTCATGTTTTTTCTACCTACAACTCAAAAGATGTTTTCCTCATCTTTCTTTTTAATCTGATTATTGCTTACTTTAGAATGAAATTTTTTGATATTTTGTAACACTGGCAACAAGCCAACATGATTAAGCATTTCTTTATCCCTTATAAACTTGTGTTTCTCCAATACAAAGGACCACCACATTCTTCCTGATCCACTCAAGTCTTTACAGATTTAGAAAAGCTAAAGATCATCTGATATTGAAAGAACCTCTTATTACAGAAATTTATTGAAACAGCTATTACTAATATTTAATACTTTATAACAGGGGAAGTAGTTTGTCATTAAACATCTACTAATATTTCCCCTTTATTTAAAAATGAGCAGGATGAACTTTTTAGTATGTAAACTATATCTCAATAAAGTTCTTTAAAAAGAGATCAACATACTGTTGCTAATTATTCCCTCAAATTTTCAATCCTGAGAGCAATTTTCTTTCTTTTGGTACTAGAGATTGAACACAGGGGCTCTTTACTTCTGAGCTATATCCCCAGTCCTATTTATTTGTTTATTTAGTGCTAGGATCTCCCTTAGTTGCTCAGGGTCTCTCTGAATTGCTTAGCATGACCTAGAACCTGCAATAGTCTGGCCTCAGCCTCCAAATTGCTGGAATTACAGACATATACCACTGTGCCCAGTCTGACAGCAATTGCTAAGTAACAATTCACTAGTATTCACCATGTTTAGTGACATTATTGTATCTATGCATGAAAACATATGAATTTTTTTTTTCTTTTCAACACTAACACTTTGCTAAGAGATCATAGGAGAATCTACTGCCATAGGGTTAGCAATGCTGTTGCTGAGGACCAAAATAATCACAAAAAGTTCTGGAAAATGAACTGATTAAACCATGACTGCCAACCTGTGTTTGCTAACAAAAGCTGATGTCAGAGAGAGAGAGATTAGGATATTAATTTTAAAATATGATTTTTAAGAACACAATTGCAATTATTCAAAAATTTAAAAATCCAATGATGACACAAACAGCTCCTCTCCAGCACAGCAAATACCACCTATCTCTAAATAAAAAGTACCTAAAACTTGAGACTCAACAAATTGTAACTCCACCAAATGCACTGTTTCAAGACTTAAAATCTCAGCCCATCAACAGTTGCTAAGAGACTTCTGTTTTCTTGCTCTTTTAGGCTATTTATCTGTTCATAAGAGAACAGTCATATTTATTCCTTTAAAACAAGAAATTTTGGTGACTCAGAGGGGCTTTCTCAAAAATACACACTTACTGGTCCTGTTGACTTGATTGTATTTCCTTTCTGAATACAAGAAATTATGGACAAGGTCTAAATTTAATAAACCTATACTTGTGTTTAGTATTTGCTACTATGGTTTCAGAGCCTTTGAACAGCAGCTCTGATGATAGGACCCAGTCAATCAAACTCGTGTCCAAACTAAAAGTCATTTGCTGCTGAGCCTGTGCTGTGTCTCTCACATGTTCTGCAAGTGCCAAATGGCTTTCATAATGACACATTTTTCATTAACTGGTCACCAGGAAGGTAAGGCTGCTTATACAGAACTGCTCTCAGAGAGGGGAAAAGGAAAAGCATTTATTGGACTTCACTCATATCAACTGCAACAAGAAGTGGAGAACCCAGGCGATTCCTAAAGGAACTGTACAAAGGGGCTATGATGTGCACTAAATAATTAGGTAAATAATTAGGTAAATCCCTGTGAGTGGAACTCATTGGCTAGACTACAACATGGCTTTTGCTATGAGATGCAAAGCTTCCAGTTTTTTCAAACCTGGACTGTTTCTTTGGGAACAGTTCCCCTCCTCACTTATATGCAATGAAATTTCTCACTGAAAGCTTTTCTGTATAAAAATTGGGACCTGGATATTCCACTCCTCTAGCAAAAACATTTCTGATCTTTTACAGCCTCTCTATCCACCTGTACAATTAATTACACAAGAAATTAATTGAGGTTAATTTGGTATGAGATTGACTTACAACAATCAAATTATAAACCATTTCCACTCTATAAATCATTTGGATAAGCAGCTCCAAAATCAAACAAAATCCTAGTCAAGTTTATGTTATACCTTAATATTCTGAGATTTAATGAAAGAAATTACAGAAAGACATTTGGAAAAAAAAAAAAAGTCTCTAGGAAATGAATGTCTCTCAGGGAATACACTTACTGTTGAGTTTCTCTCCCTGTCTGGGATGGTCACAGGGTCACTGGCTCTAAGTCGGTAGTATAACAACAGAGCTACACAAACAGCTTAAGTATCCTTAAGGATGAATTAGATGTCACCATCATTATGCCATTATTAATGTTTTTTATTTGGATCCTGTAATAATTCACAATGGATAGTGAAAATTCAAAGGGCTTTGCTTTTTTTACACATAAGTTTACCACACTTGAATGCCTCCCCACCTTAGAAGCTGGAAGTAGCTGGGGTTGGGCATCCTTTCCCAAGTCTGAGTAAGCAAACTATAGTCTCCAAATGAGCCATAATCACAACTAGAACCATTGCCATTAATGAGTACTAATTTGGAAGATTCAGCTTGGTGCTAAGTGCTCCTCAGAGTTCAATGAACAGAAATAATCCATGTCCTCAAAGAGTGTACCCTCTTAAATAGAATGCTGACACAGTAGACATGGAGAAGATGAGAATAAAATATCACATTAATATTGTTTATAGATAGAAAATACTTATACAGTGTACAAAAGACCAAGAATAGTGCACTTGTATGGAGAAGGGGGTGCCAAAACCAATCAGATTTCCTAAGTTGGAGGCATTGAGGTAAGCCATAACACATCAGCCCTCATAGGGAGAATTATTTATACAAATAAAAAATAACTGACACAAAGTAAGAAATTGAGAGCACCAAAGTCTCTAAGAAAGCTTATACATGTTCTTGCCCCAAAATATTTTAATTTCAAAGGGGATGTCAGATTCTTCTGACTTACAGAAAGTACAAATATAGGAGTATATGGAGAATGATGAGAAAGGAGAGGATGATTTGAGGAAAATGACTGTTGGGAATGGTGGCATGTACCTGTAAGTATCACAAGTTTGAGTCTATTCTGTGGAACTTGGTAAAAGGCCCTGTCTCAAAATAAATAAAAAGGGCTGAGGGTCTAGCTCAATGGTAGAAACACTTGCCCAACATTTGTGAGGTCAATCTCCAGTACTAGAAATAAAAGGCAGGGGCAGGGGGGGGGGGGGGGACTCTACCTATTAATTGCAATAGGCGGCCATGGGCAAGTTCTGATGGGATTCTAATTTGCAAAACAACTACCAAAGGAAACCAGTGCCAGCCCAGCTGTGCTGCTGTTCAGGGGAGGTTCCTGTGGTTACTAATGGATAAAAACATTCTACCAAACAAGACCCCACCCCTGAACATTTTGAATAATGCTACCACATTTAGGACCCCTATTTTCAGGCACTGGCATGAATAATACCAAATTTTGGGAAAATGATTTTTGTCATTTTATCCTTTCACTCATCCAGAACACATTATTCAAGACTATGTGTAAAAAGCAAAAAAAGAAATAAATTCAATTTTCCAAAGCATTAAATCTTATCTGTGTGACACTATAGACATAGCTATACCACAAAGTACAATATGATAAGAACCATATGTGATCCTCTGGAAGTTC